TACTTTCTTGAGTATTTACTTCCTGCCACGTATTTTACGTGGCAGTTTTTTGCTAGTGAGTGTCTTTTCATTACCATCTATGCCAATGTGACTTGGTATCCAATGTAGGGTGATTGACGGCCCTAGATTGTTTGCTTCTTTTCCTGTATGTTGAATTTCTGTGAAGAGTTGCATATTATCTCTGTGCTGACTGGATAACAATGGGGTCCCAGCCATATTGGTGTCTCTTCAAATGAGCATGTGGACGCTGCCGCTAAGGAAGCTATCTGCACTTGTCCCATCTCACGTAAAGGTATTCCTTATTCCGACTTTTACCCAGTTATTCATTTCTCCAGTCTTGCCTGTTGGCAATGTTGTTGGTCTTCTGTTATTGGTAACAGACTGCGTGCTCTTAAGAGTAATGTGGGACGTCCCTGTGGTCTTCCTCCTACCACCGTAACCGGCGGTGGGAAACGGCTCTGGCGAAGTTACGTATTGCCCATACACACTTAACTCACGGACACTTAATGGAGCGCCGCTCTGCTCCTTATTGTCCAAACTGCATTGTCCCTCGTACAGTCGTGCATATCCTTGTTTAATGTCCTGACTTCCAGGACGAGCGTGTGTCTTGCTTTCCAACCGTCCTTCGCGGTGTCTTGTCCCTTGATAGAATTCTTGGTGAATCGGATACTTTTGATATCATTTGCCTTTTGCGTTTCTGTTCTAATATTGGCATCCTTAGTGATATTTAGCGTCCTCTGATTATTCCACACATTTGATGGTGCTACATAGCCTTCCCAGCTAGGTGCCTTCTTTTTGGTAATTACTTACTTTCTGACAATCCAAGAAAATGCAGTCTGTCCTCTCTTCTCTTTCTTACTTAGTACTTCTTGCTTGGTAATATAATTCTTTTAAACTTGTGAGGCACAATTTGTCATCCCTGATCCTATGCTGGTGGTGTGTTATAAAGTCCCTTCTTTCCAGATGTGCTACAAACCTTTTTCTCAAGATCTCTATATATATCATCTCTATACTATATCATCTTGCATAGTATACAAGTTATGGACACTGGCCTGTAATTTCAGGCCTCCTGTCTGTCACACTTTTTGTATATTAGAACTATGTTTGGTGTTTTCCAACTTTGTGGTAGGTCCCCTGTTTTTAGTAACTTATTATACACCATAGAGCATGCAAAGTGCTGAATGTTAAAACAGGGGTACAGAAGCCCCCCCCCCCCACCTCTTAGCATTCACGGTGAGATTCCATGAGGCCCAACAGCTTTAGCCACGTCTGGATCAGAGCAGATACACCCTAACCTCATCTCTGGTCATTTCAATACCTTTCAAGTATGCTTGGTTTATTACCACTCCTCTTAGTGCAGGGACTTCTCCTTGCAATACGGAAGGGGAACTATGATGATTAAAACATTTCTAATAGGAACATCATGGGAACATCATTGTGAAGACTCTTGGAATCTCTTGTCGAGTTCTTTACATAATTCTTTGACATTCTCTGTGTAACCATCCTTTCCCCTTCTCAGTTGCATCACCTCTTCTTTCACCGTCATTTTCCTCGTGATGTGGCTGTACAACAATTTTCGTTCTATCTTGGCTTCATTTGCTTTGTGATTTTCAAACTGCCTCTCTGCTTCTCTCATCACACTGATGTACCCATTTCTGGCTCTCTGGTCTCCTGATATTCATGTAGTGTCTCCATGTCCTTGTGCTTAGCTGCCTTGCTTCCTTACATGCCTGACTGAACCACGGATTCCACTTTTGCTTTTCTTTTCTTTTTTTCTGTACCAGGATAAACCTGTTTTCTGCCTCATGACACTTCTGGGTGATGTAGTCCACACTTTTCACCGAGTTCTGTCTCCCATGATGTTCCTATTAGAAATGTTTTAATCATCATAGTTCCCCTTCCGTATTCCAGCCTTTAGCTTTCCGGTTCTTTTCTTAGGGAGGTTATTTCTACTTCCACCAGATACTCAAATATTGCTACACTGTGGTCACTCATTCCTAGGGGGGGGGGGGGGGTTCTAATTTGGCTTCCTTTATGTCTGACTAGTTCAGGGCGAATATCAGAGCCAGTCTGACTGGTTCATCATTTCCTCTAATACTTGTAGGTTCCTTGACATGTTGGCTTAGAAAGTTTATTGTTGTCACGTCTAATATTTAAGCTCTCCGTGTGTCTGTCCCTCCATGTGGTTCTTTGTTTTCTCACTCTCTCTCTCCATAGTTGAAGTCACTCATGATTAACAGTTTAGATTTCTTCCTGCAGGCAATAGAAGCTGCTTTCTTTATTATGTTATTGGCTACCATGTTATTCCTGTCATACTTCTGCCTGGATCATCTGTCATTTAATAGCGGGGGGGGGGTATATATAACTACTGCTATTATTAATATTATTAGCTATTATCTGCTATTACTACCTACCATTACAATAGTGCCTGCTATGTAGTCTCTGAAATCTTCACAGCCTGGAATGTCCATCACTTCAAAACTCCAGTCCTTCTTTATCAGAAGCCCCACTCCTCCCCCTCCTCCTCCTCCTCCTCCTCCTCCTCCTCCTCCTCCTCCTCCTCTTCCCTTAATATATAGTAGTCCTGTGTAAACCCTGCATTTCTTATGATGCCTGAAAGTTTTGTTTCTGCGAGTCTTATTACATCTCAGTTTCCTTCTAGTGTCCAACTTCCAATATTGTACTCGCCTAGTTGTGCTTGTGGGGGTTGAGCTTTGGCTCTTTGGTCCCGCCTCTCAACTGTCAATCAACTGGTGTACAGGTTCCTGAGCCTACTGGGCTCTATCATATCTACATTTGAAACTGTGTATGGAGTCAGCCTCCACCACATCACTGACTAATGCATCTGTTGATTACTCTGACACTGAAAAAATTATTTCTAATGTCTCTGTGCCTGATTTGGGTACAAATTTTCCACCTGTCCCACCTTGTTCATGTTCCACCCATGCTAAAGAGTTTTTCTTTGTCCGCCCTGTCAATTCTCCTGAGAATTTTGTAGGTGGTCATCATGTTTCTCCTTACTCTTCTGTTTTCCAGGGATGTGAGGTTCAGCTTCCTTAGCCATTCTTCATAACTCATACCTCTCAGTTCCAGAACTAGTCTGGTGGCATACCTCTAAATCTTCTCTAACTTTATCTTCTCTTTGTGTACTCACCTAGTTGTGCTTGCGGGGGTTGAGCTTTGGCTCTTTGGTCCCGCCTCTCAACCGTCAATCTACTGGTGTACAGGTTCCTGAGCCTATTGGGCTCTATCATATCTACATCTGAAACTGTGTATGGAGTCAGCCTCCACCACATCACTTCCTGGTGCATTCCATTTACTAACTACTCTGACACTGAAAAAGTTACTTCTAAATTATCTGTGGCTCATTTTTGGTACTCTGCTTCCACCTGTGTTCATTTGTGGGTGTACCACCCGTGTTAAATAATCCATCTTTGTCTATCCTGTCAATTTCCCAGAGGATTTTGTATGTGGTGATCTTATCTCCTGAAGCTCTTCTGTCTTCCAGCGACGTGAGGTGCATTTCACGCATCCTTTAATCGTAACTCATGCCTCTTAGTTCTGGGACTAGTCTAGTGGCATACCTCTGAACTTTTTCCAGCTTCGTCTTGTGTTTGACAAGGTACGGGCTCCATGCTGGGGCCGCATACTCCAGGATTGGTCTTACATATGTGGTATACAAGGTTCTAAAGGATTCCTTACACAGGTTTTTGAAAGCAGTTCTGATGATAGTCAGCCTCACATACGCCGCTGATGTTATTCTTTTGATGTGGGTTTCAGGAGACAGGTTTGGTGTGTGTGCGTGTGTGTATGTGTGTGTGTGGGGGGGGGGGGCTGGCAAGGAGTCCCGCCCGAGCCTTGGGTACCAACACCAGCTACTCTGTTATCCCAGAGAGCAAGTCACCGAGTCATTCAAGCAAACTATTAACTACAATTATATTAAAATGAATACAGTAGGCATGATGACCTGTAGTTTGTGCTCCATGAAGTCTGGGAGGGAAGGAGAGGTAATTATCAGGGTAAAGCTCCAAGCCATTAACCTATATAGCACTGGAAAGGGATCAGGATAAGGACTTGGGATGGGCCGGTAGGTAGTAATGGTGCTCAACCACTTGTGGACGGTCGGGGGATTGACCGCCGACCTGCATGAAGCGAGACCGTCGCTCTACTGTCCAGCCCAAGTGGTTGGAGTGTATATAACTATACTGTGGAGGAGACTGAACAAAGAGATCATAGGACCCCGCAGTCATACTCCAAGAACAGCTGTAAGAGGACCACTCCGGCACATGAAACAAAGTTAACCCGTCCTCTCTACTAATGTCTCTCATCTTGCACGTGTTGGTTTCCAACGTACAAATTACAAAGGACTATGAAAATGTGACGACTCTGAAAAAAAAACTTTTTCTATACATCAGTAGCTTACGTTAGGTGGGTAGCTTGGGTTGGTTCATTTCTGGTTAGGTTGGGACGGGTCTGTCTAATTACCACAAGCTTCACAAGCTTCACAAAGCTTCACAAGCTTCACAAAGCTTCACAAGCTTCACAAAGCTTCACAAGCTTCACAAAGCTTCACAAGCTTCACAAAGCTTCACAAGCTTCACAAAGCTTCCTGGCAATACGTTAGTAATGAATAAATATGATATGTTAGGCTGACCTAACCTAACCTAACTTAACCAAACCAAACCTAACCTAACTGACGCTTGGATCGTCGACTTGATTTGGCGTCACCAGCTCTTTTCTTTCCGTCTAATATCTTTATAAAAAGACACTTTTTCAGATTAAAATTATGTTTTTTCGTGTTGTACATTCATCACCAACATTATAATGAGTAAATATATCACATTTATTCATTACTAAGGTATTGCCAGGAAGCTTTGTGAAGCTTGTGGAAGCTTGTGGTAATGAGACGGACCCCCGGGTTGGGACTTGGACTTGTGGTCGTTGTTTGAGAGGACAAGACCGGGCTGGTGGTGAGTGAGTGTTGGAGGCGAGGCACTAACCTTGATCTCGTTGAGGTTGAGGACCGGGAGGTACTGCTGGCGGGTGTAGGTCTTGCTCCAGTCTATGGGCAGGATGTTGCCGAAGTTGCCCGTGATCGTCCACCACATCCTGCGGGAGGCAAGGGACCACCTTAGTCTCCTCTATCACACACTTCCAACACTGTTTATGTGACGCAGACCTAAATCTGTATATCTGTGTGTTTATGTATGTAGGTTACATTACCATGTTTAAAGCACTACAATCACCTTGTGGTCGATTATTCAATAAATCCCTGATTTTATATGCTTAAGAGATCTCTCATCCTGTCCATGAAGGACAGATGTGTGTATGTGTACTCACCTAGTTGTGCTTGCGGGGGTTGAGCTCTGGCTCTTTGGTCCCGCCTCTCAACCGTCAATCAAGAGGTTACAGGTTCCTGAGCCTATTGGGCTCTATCATATCTACACTTGAAACTGTGTATGGAGTCAGCCTCCACCACATCACTTCCTAATGCATTCCATTTGTCAACCACTCTGACACTAAAAAAGTTCTTTCTAATATCTCTGTGGCTCATTTGGGCGCTCAGTTTTCACCTGTGTCCCCTAGTGCGTGTGGCCCTTGTGTTAAATAGCCTGTCTTTATCAACCCTGTCGATTCCCTTGAGAATCTTGAATGTGGTGATCATGTCCCCCCTAACTCTTCTGTCTTCCAACGAAGTGAGGTTCAATTCCCGTAGTCTCTCCTCGTAGCTCATACCTCTCAGCTCGGGTACTAGTCTGGTGGCAAACCTTTGAACCTTTTCCAGTTTAGTCTTATGCTTGACTAGATATGGACTCCATGCTGGAGCCGCATACTCCAGGATTGGTCTGACATATGTGATATATAATGTTCTGAAAGATTCCTTACACAAGTTTCTAAAGGCCGTTCTTATGTTAGCCAACCTGGCATATGCTGCTGATGTTATCCTCTTGATATGAGCTTCAGGGGACAGGTCTGGCGTGATATCAACTCCCAGGTCTTTCTGTCTCTCTGACTCTTGAAGTATTTCATCTCCCAAGTGATACCTTGTATCTGGTCTCCTGCTTCCTACCCCCTATCTTCATTGCATTACATTTGCTTGGGTTAAACTCTAACATCCATTTGTTCGACCATTCCTGCAGTTTGTCCAGGTCTTCTTGAAGCCTCAAGCTGTCCTCCTCCGTCTTAATCCTTCTCATAATTTTGGCGTCGTCAACAAACATTGAGAGGAATGAGTCTATACCCTCTGGGAGATCATTTACGTATATCAGAAACAGGATAGGTCCAAGCACAGAGCCCTGTGGGACTCCACTGGTGACTTCACGCCATTCTGAGGTCTCACCCCTCACTATAACTCTCTGCTTCCTATTGCTTAGGTACTCCCTTATCCACTGGAGCGCCCTACCAGTTACTCCTGCCTGTTTCTCCAGCTTATGCATCAACCTTTTATGGGGTACTGTGTCTCAGGCTTTCCGACAGTCCAAAAAAATGCAGTCCGCCCATCCTTCTCTTAATTGCTTAATCTTTGTCACCTGATCATAGAATTCTATCAAGCCTGTAAGGCAAGATTTACCCTCCCTGAACCCATGTTGATGGGTTGTCACGAAGTCTCTTCTCTCCAGATGTGTGTGTGTGTGTGTGTGTGTGTGTGTGTGTGTGTGTGTGTGTGTGTGTGTGTGTGTGTGTGTGTGTGTGTATTAGCATTGTAAATGTGTGGCCAAGTCTGTGGTAGATGATGATGATAAAAAACGCCATTATTACTAAGTATAAAACATTAAATAATCTCACGGAAACATGGCTGCTGAATTATGGAACAAATTACCAAGTAACGTGGCATTAGTAGCTTGGTTCAAGCGTAGGGTAGACATATGAAACAGTTTGGGTAACGAACATTCAGGTTTGATAGAGAAATCAAACACTCAAACGCCTGAATGCACCAGTATAAAAAGTTTTGATTTGTTTTATATGAATCCTCTATATATGGACAACACAAAACTTGCTTAATGCTTTAAGCAAGGCAGACAGACAGGCAGCTGTTGTTTTATATCTTTAGAGCAAAGATATAAAAAGGAACTACTGTCTCACTGTCTACCAGACAGACGGCAGTAGTCTTCAAGATCACGTCGCCACCTGTAGCCACCTGCCACCGTTACCTGCGACAGGTGGCCACAGGTGACCAATCTCCCAATCCCGAGCACTAGGTGTAAACTCGCCGTAGGAAGCGAGTCATGACCTCACACACTACGTCACTGGATGTCCAGTCATCAGACCCTTCAGACCGGCCGGTATGAGGCACGTGCAGCACTCTCAGTACTCCAGCCACTCTCTTGGGTAATGACTGCCAAGTGTGGCAGTGTGTGGTGGTGACCACACCGCTGTGTGGCTCATGAGAAGGTGGAGGATCATCACCACACACGCACCTCTCGTCTCGGACTAACTCGTCACAGATGTCCCAAAGTTGGTGATACAAATATGCCATAAATGGCCGGATATACGAAGGAGCTGCCTCGTATGGGTCTATTGGACTGATGTAGTTTCATTTATTCTTGTTTACCTGGAGTATACCTGGAGTGGGTTCTGGGGGGGGGGGGCGGGTTCTACTCCCCCGAGCCCAGCTTGGGTGGGGCCCGGCTCCACTTGTGATGACCTGATCCAGTAGCTTGTTGCTTGGAGCGGCCCGCATTACATCAAAATGTTGTGTATATCATAATAAGATAAGAGTTAGAGGGCAGCGAGGAGGCGTACTGGGCCACACCAGGCGGGACCCGTAGACAGCCCCTGGAGCCCTTCCTCTGTCATCACCTTACGCGCAAGTCTTATACACTATAACCCTCTATCGCCGTGTAACTAGATTTCCTCCTCGGAATAATGCTCCAGGATTCACAAAGCACTTGCGTGTGCACTTACGCGATGTGTACCTCTTATCTTCATCATGGCGGCTTTGTTGGTGTTTACCAGATTACGAGCTCTGAAGCGCTTCAACGCGGCCCTCAGCCCAGGGACATTAATGCCCAGGGACATTAATGTGATGTACGACCTCGTAACTCTTGGAAACTCGTAAACTGTTGGTAAATCCGGGGAAAACTACAATGATCAAGATAAGAAGTACCAAGCTCGTAAGTGGACACCATTGGTGATGACTCCACCTTTGTAACGACGGGTACTGGTCAACACCGCTGTCACCACGTGTAGTCAAGTGTCCATCTTACCTCCAACAACGTATACCCTTAATAATTATTCTTAAATATTTAATATGAACTACTTGGACCAGAGTGAAGGTGCACTCTGGCAGCGTGACACTCGACGGCTGCCTCAAGTGTGAGCGAGGGAAACACCGCATCAAAGCTAAAGCTAAAGATCTATCTCAACGTTAAGGAACACCAAGGGTAATTATATAGTAGTAATAATAATAATAATAATAATAATAATAATAATAATAATAATAATAATAATAATAGGACCACTGACTTGTGTTCTCTGTTTACTAAGGTTCCGGTTGATGATATTCTGGATTACCTCGCTCATGAGTTAATGACCCATGAACAAATCCACAAGGGCCGTGACGAGGATTCGAACCTGCGTCCGAGAGCATCCCAGACGCTGCCTTAATCGACATGGTCATTTGATGCATCACGCAATTATGATTTCTGTGTTTAATGACCCATGTATTACCTCTGGCTGTTGATATTACTGTCAACCTCGTTAAGCTCTGTACATAAAATGTAAATTTACTTTTAGTAATGAGTATTATTTACAGACTTTTGGAATGCCAATGGGGAATACTTCATCGCCATTGTTTTCAAACTTGTACATGGAATATTTTGACAAGAAATTTGTTTCAAAAATTACCCCTAGAATCATTTCATGGTATAGATATGTTATCTTGAGATCTTGAGGTTATCTTGAGATGATTTCGGGGCTTTAGTGTCCCCGCGGCCCGGTCCTCGACCAGGCCTCCACCCCCAGGAAGCAGCCCGTGACAGCTGACTAACACCCAGGTACCTATTTTACTGCTAGGTAACAGGGGCATAGGGTGAAAGAAACTCTGCCCATTGTTTCTCGCCGGCGCCTGGGATCGAACCCAGGACCACAGGATCACAAGTCCAGCGTGCTGTCCGCTCGGCCGACCGGCTCCCAGATGATGATTTGATATTTTGTGTATATGGCTTACAAATGTAAATTCAGACGAACTTGTACCTAAACTGAGTGATCAAGTCACCAATATAAAACTGACTATAGAGACTCAAATTGATAAATGTTTGCCTTTTAGATATACTTATTCAGAGGGAACATTTTTGACTAAGGTTTAGTGTTTACAGAAAGCCTACAAATAATTTATATTATGTTCATTATTTCTCAGGGTATAGATACAATATGAAACAATCAATTTTTTCTTCTATATATCTAAAGCTCTTTTGGTTGTTAGTCCAGAATTTTTGGATGAAGAGTTTAAGAAAATTATTCCATTGGTCTCAAGCTTTGTTATCCAGAGTTTTTTGGAAGTTTGCCGTAGTAAAGCACGTCGTATATATTATAATATTATATGCAGTGAAAAAATTTGCCCAAAATAATGTGTGTTTACTGTATTTTTGTGGGTTCAAGAACTTTGTCATGGCCATGACCCATTTTTGATATACATGTATTGTTTAATTACGAAAATACTGTTGGAAAACTATTAGTTAGAAACAGTCCTCCTGGTGATAATTGTTTCATTTACAAAATACCTTGTAAACATTGTTAAAGGTTCTACGCAGGGCAAACATACAATGATTTGAAATTTAGAATTTCGCAACATAAATACTCTAAGACACAGCCAATTGTCTAATGCTTTGTTCATTTGTCAGAAACTTCTCACCAAATTGATTTGGAGAGCGCTTCTTCAATAACGAATTGTAAAAGCATTTTCAATAGAAATATTATTGAATCTGCTTTAATACAGATTACAAAATCATGTAATTTGAACATTAGCAGTGGTTTGTATAATTTAGATACATTTTTGATTGATCAGTTTAAGGGCGATTTGAGTACGATCATCGATACACATTTATCTCACTAATACCTTATTAATATCCCATTAAAGACATTGTACCTCACCTCTTTCCTGCCTACAA